TTTAATGTATCACATAAATATACACTTAAAAAATCTAATTATTCGTTTTAATATCAGTTGAATAATTTCAGTGACAAAACAATTTACGACATTGCGACAAGTATATGTCGCATATAAGACAATATGAGACAATACTTCAGTAATGAGAAAATATAATAAGATAAATAAATATAAGAAATGAATAATTTACATTTAATTGCAAATTACAATTTATATATTACAATTTATGTAAACACATAAAACTAGATTATATAAGTTAAATAGTCTACATGCACTGTTTGAGGTTAGTTGATTTCAAAGAATTAAATTTGGATAATACAAATTTGGAATAATACAGACACATACATTAATAAATGAAGTAATTCATCTAACAGAAAATAAGTTTGAGCCATTAAGGCTCGAGAGCGTGATAAGCCCTCCAAATTGCATGATAATAATTATGGAGAAATTGAGATGAGAGACAAAAGATTTCGGGACATAGGAATATCAATGATCTCATCGCTGTTTACCTTCCTCCAGATCTTTTTTCAGAGATTGTATGTGATTTATCAGATCGCGTAATACTGCCTCCGCATGTTCATTTATCGCACCGAATTTCGACAGAACTTTGTCGACCTCGCGTTCAACAGCATTACACGCCTCCATTATTATCGTATCACTTTTCGCGACTGACATTTGTACTCTGTGGAATACTGTGAAGAACGTAAACTATATCCCAGAATTTCAAGCTAATATCTCGAGTAATATGGATGACTAGTCGAATGGCTCTCATTGGCTGTCGATAATCATCCGATAGTGACATTTTATCGCTCTCATGTGATATAGCCTGCAATTGATGTACAGGTTGTTTCAAAATGATCACATTACACATAAATATATCAAGAGAAAAATGGATAATCATAGAGCAAAAACATAAAAGCCATAGCTAAATGTTTTGTGTCTAAATAATTTTAGAAATTCGCACAGTACATTCCTACAGTAACAATAAACATTTCGTTTTCTTAAGTCATCCTTAAATCATTTTCAGTATCACAAATTTTAAAATTAAAAAGATTACATTATCTATAAAAATAATAATTTTACGAATATATTCTTTTTTAATTTTTTATATATATTCTTTTCTTATTTTTTCGTATCAATATTTTCGTAGGAGAAAGTAAACTTGACAATAGGATAAGTTTAAATGATATAAAGATGTATACAATTAAGACCATGATTTTATTTTTCCAACAATAATTTTTTCAAGTAATCATTACATTAAAATTCTTACACATTTCTAAGTAACTGCGATAGATATTTTATATACAAATTAAATTAATGTATAATTACAACTGAACTGTGATCATTTCATTTATAGGAATTATTAAGACATACTGGCATTTCATTTTCATAAATTTACATTCCTAATTATCTAAGTATCTAGTACACATAGCCACAAAGGCATAATGATGTCATAGAACATCATCATGATGTTGTACATCAACTTAAAAATGTACTTATAAATGACAAATAAGATCATGATGATGTATTTATGACATTATGATCTTATTTGTCACTTATAAGTGCATTTTTAAGTGACTTCTGCGTTCTGTTTGAGTATATATATTTTAATTGAAAATAATGTCGGAGAATGAATGTATACATTTGAAATAAAAAATTTCATGAATGGTGGAATGTTCATTAATCGATGATAGGATTACCCTGTAACAAAATAATATGTATTTAATTTATGAATATTTAAATATAAATTATTTATACATTTCCGCATATTGTTTAACCATGAAATAACAAGATAATTAATTCAATCAATTGATTTTAATACAATCCATACATAAACAATATTATCTAATCTTCAATGTTTTTGACTTACCCATTCTCGAGCCATAACTAATATGGTCTTACTACTCAACTTTGGCCCAATCAATGGATTCATCTGTGCCATATAGCAACATAGCCAGCTATATAAAATAATTTTATTTACGTATAAATTATAAATGTATGAACTAAGACATCAAGATGTCGTAAAAATATTACACTTACAATAGCCAGCACGTAAAGCCCGTTAATACCAGGAGAACTTGCAGTATTCTGCAATAAATGTCAATATAAATTAAAGTTCAACGAATATAGATAACTTGAGCAGATATCGATTTATATCTTTAAAATATCTCTATTAATCGAAATATTCAAGGAAAATTAGATCAATTGCAGTTATTATTTTACAAGCTATAACATTGTGAGAAGAAATGTTTATGCAAGAGGAAATTGTCTATTTCAAGAGATCTGTGTACAAATGTTAATTTCAATGGAAGGAGAATGTACGAAAGTAAAAAAAAGCGTCGAGAGGGATATTTACCCACGATTTGGTCCCTTTGGAACGAAAAGTGGTAGAGCTACTCCTAGAAATACCACGGCGCCCCAGAGAAGCGTGAAAGCTATCACGGGTATTGCAGATGCGCCCATTTTTTTCCTATCTAAACACGTTCCTCCGAAAAATAGCAAACGAACACGGAACCGTATTTCGTATGATTATTTACAGGTATTGAAAGGATCACATGAGAGATTCTTTGTACTATTCACGTGACACATCGATTGACCGAAGAATCTGCGAAGAAGGTAAGTACGGCACTCGATTACACTCGGTAACGTAAATGGATCTGTTCGTTGCGCTATTTCTCTTTTTTTCTTTTTAATATCTAATTAAATATCTATTTTATTATAAACGCAGGAAATATAACACAGTACAACTGCAAAAATATTTCGATTATTATTGCAATGAACAAATTTATCGTCTATCGCGTGAAGTTGTCCCAGATGTTTCGGATATATAACATTCGTATCTACGTATATTCATGCATTATGATTGTAAAGAAAAGTGGGGAAAGGGCGATGTCGCAAAACAGCTGATTTGACAGCATTCCATAGCTGTCATGACGTATATCTAAAAAGTCCCTAAAAAATCTAGATTCCGGAAGTGCATAAGAATTAATAAACATTGAATTGGTAATCGAATGTGGTCTGAACGTTGGCGCGATATCTTTCTTGTCAGTGAGTGACATGGCTAACGATCTGAAGTTGGCGTCAGCAGCTGACTTCTGCATGCTTCTGCGCTGAGAGACGTGAGAGTACGTTTTCATGTGGGTTGATGACGTTATTTCGAAATGAGACGCAACGTGTAATGTATGTAACATATAATCACATTGCGTGTTTTGATGCGACAGTTGGTGATAAACAGCCGCAGGTTGAGTGTACTGCTGTACACGATCCTTGCTCTAGGGCGGAGAACAGTTGATAAGCCAAGATACTTGGAAGACAAACGGAGATCAGCCAGTAACTTTTTTTCCAGAAGAATTTATAGAAACGAATAAACGTTATCCACTCACGATGAAGAAAAAGGTAAACTTTTCTTCTTACATTCTTCTTACATGCAAATGCATGGAATTGCATTTTTTTGTTTTGCATAAGTCTTCATTCTTATGGAGACATATCTTTGTTCTGAGATAAAATGAATATATACCATTTTATTTCAGGTACTGTTAATGGGCAAGAGTGGGTCCGGGAAAACGAGTATGCGCAGCATTATTTTCGCCAACTACATCGCTCGCGATACCCATCGTCTAGGAGCAACGAGTAAGCTAAACTTATGCTAATAGTCCTAAATATTCCACATTTTTTTATTTCAACTGTCTTACTGTAATATCTTAAGATGCTAATACAGTTTTGTGATCAATTTAAATAAATTAATCAGCTATATTAACATTTTAAGATGCTAATACCATCTTAGATATTAATTTCTTTAAGATGATCTTGAATTAAGAACAGATTGTCAGCCTAAAGGAAGACTAATATAATGTAATTTATTACAGTTGACGTAGAACATTCCCATGTTCGTTTTCTCGGCAATTTGGTTTTGAATTTGTGGGATTGCGGAGGACAGGAGGCATTCATGGAGAATTATTTTGCATCACAACGTGATAACATATTTAGAAATGTAGAAGTGTTGATTTATGTCTTTGATGTGGAATCGAGAGAGCTGGACAAAGATATGCATTATTACCAGAGCTGTTTAGAAGCAATACTACAGAATAGCCCAGAGGCGAAGATATTTTGTCTAGTTCATAAAATGGATCTTGTACAAGAGGACCAACGCGATTATATATTCAGGGAAAGAGAGGAAGATTTGAAAAGACTGAGTTTACCTTTAGAGTGCACTTGCTTCAGAACTAGCATATGGGATGAAACCTTATACAGGTATATATCAGATAAGAACATAATTAAAGCAGACAAATAAATCTTTGTTATTGTAGAGCATGGTCATCCATTGTATATATGCTGATTCCCAATGTGAAGGAACTTGAACAAAGCTTGAACCAATTTGCTAATATTATTGACGCGGATGAAGTGCTTTTATTTGAAAGAGCGACCTTTCTAGTAATAAGTCATTGTCAACGACAGTTTCACAGAGACGTTCATCGTTTCGAAAAAGTTTCCAATATAATAAAGCAATTTAAATTGAGTTGTAGGTAAGCATGAATCATGCAAAAAAATAATAAGTTTGACAAGAAAGAAATGCAACGTTTGCAGTTTTTTATTAATTTTGTAGTAAGTTAGCGGCACAATTTCAAAGTATGGAAGTTAGAAATACCAATTTTGCGGCCTTTATCGACATATTTACCTCAAATACATACGTGATGGTTATCATGTCCGACCCAACTATACGTAAGTATTTCAAGTATTTGTACAATTCAAATCCAATATTGATTATATATATATATATATTTTTTAAATTTATTATATATTTATTTACATGACTGAGTATATTTGAAAAACTATATTTGTATATAATTTTATTTTGTATTTGTATTTCATGAAAGCATATAAAAGTATTTTGTATTTTATATTTCAGTATTAATAACAAAAGATTGAAAGTATCTTATATTTTATATTTCAAATACTAAGATTGGCAATCAATTTTATTACAAAATACAAAAAACTGTCAACCTTTTCATTTTAAATACAAAATACATAATACTTTTATGTGCTCCGCTGAAATACAAATTATACTTGTTTTCCAAATATTATATTTTAAATAAAAGTGTTTCAAATATATGTCCTTTATATAAAATATAATCGAGCACTTGATCCTCAAGGTATTATCATGTTTCCTGATATTGAAGTTTGTTAAAACGCGCGTCTTCTTTCAGCATCCGCGGCGACATTAATCAACATACGCAACGCGCGAAAGCACTTCGAAAAGTTGGAACGTGCTAGCCAGAGTTCGGCGTTGACTAGATAGAAGTCGGCGCGACCCAGGCGCCTTGTCACCCGGGTCCATCCTATTAATAATTGCTGAATTTCTGGAATCGCGTATCGTTAAGATAAAGCGCGATTGCGGAGATACGATTGTTGACGAGATCGGGTTACAAAGTATACTTCAATGTATGGCTTCTTCAATGTGAGCGTTTAAATGACAAAATAAGTATATAATCGACGTATCCGAAAGAGGCTGACGATTATCACTGTATTTCAGGCCGTATATTAGGACTCTATTGATATGAATTCATCCCACATATACACGCAGATATGATACATCTCTCATAATGCATCTGCCATTTATCGACGTAGAATAGTTTCCATATTCGCGATTCTCTTGCTCCATTCGGAATTATTTTTTATTCATCTAATAATCGTTTGTGATTCAAAACATGTCGCAATAACATTTCAACGAATATTAGTTATAATTAATCATTACATAATTAATCATTACATATGTTTGTTTTATATCTGCATGATATTATGATATAACAATGCAAGACTGAGTATCCATTTAAGAGCTTCTATTCTCGTAACTGAATCACGACAATAGAAAAGTTCTGATGAAAATAATCGATGTATAATCGCGATATGTTTTAATTATGTGTTCACTGATAGATTTCCTTACTGAAGATTGTCCTCAAGTATAAAAAGAACTTTTAAGTGGATGTGCAATCTATGCTGCATCGGAGTATCATATTGTGATTGTAAAGATAAATAGTTAACGTCAATTTGGTAGGAAAAAAATTTACGATGTGTTTATATGTTTACAATCCTCAAAGATATAACAATTTAAAACTACGATGTATTTTTTAAATGTGCAAATAAATTATAACCACAAGTAAGCTTATATTTCTTCCATGAATGAGTATATTTAAAATTATAAAATTGATAGAAATATTTCCGAAATAAGCTAAAAATATAAAATAAATTTAAAATCATCTGTCTTAAAAACTTTTAGAATAAAAAAAGATTAATCAGATTCTAATCTGATGGTGATTTTTTCTTGAAGGGATTGATATTTTGAAATTATATTGCTGAGGATAGTTCGTACTATAATATTTTCTATTTTTTGAATAAAGATTTAAGATTGCGTAAACTATCACGCTGACTCTCATTCGCCCTGATTTTTTTGAATTTTTGTTGTTGAATTTGGAAGAGTTCGTAAGAAGACATTACATTATTACTATATTTTATAAAGTCGAAACATTTCTGAATTAAAAAAAAAAGATGTAATTCATTTATTTTATGATAGATCAAAGGGAAGTTAAATTTCCCGCCGTTGAGTTGCTAAATGGCGGAATTGTGTGCTGTCATTGTTCTTCACATTAGGAAAATAGTTTCTGAGGGTTCATTTTATAGTTATTACTCGAATGTCGTGATGGATAGAATACTGAAGGGGATCATGAATTACAGAAAGTGTCACCGAGAAGGCATGGTGAAGCAATTCAAACAAGTTAAAGATCATCCCGAGGTATGTTCGTATGATAGAAAAAAAACTCGCGTGACGATTTTTTCGATAGATAGGTATATAGATACATTTGCACTGCCACGCCGAGTGTGATCCACGTGCGTTTTGTTGATACTATCTCAGAGCAAGTGATAGTGAACCGTAAAAAATATTCTTTCGCAACTCCATTTATTAATAAGATCACTTATTTTAAATGTAATGACTCGAAGCATGACCTCAAACCGTGACATGGAATTATTGATTAACCAATAATTGATTAGAGTACTCGTATCTAATAACAGCAAAATGTTTTTTCATACTGACCTATATATAATATGGGGAGATAGTTGTGTTATGTTTTTACCAATAGAGTTATTTTATGTAGATTTATTACCTTATGATGTTATGCTAAGAAAATGTCTGTTTTCTGCTTTTATCACTCACAGTTATTTTATTGATAATACCGTACGTAGATTAGAATATATGTGTATCGACTGTAGGATACATCTCGATTAGTGAATTCTATTTTTACTATAGTATGTATTTCTGTTTATACCAGTAGAGTATTTCTTTATTAATATCGTAGATTATATTTTAGGTGCTAAAAGTGCATTATTGTACATCAATAATCAACATTCAATAATAATCATTATTTTACATCAATAATGAAATATATGTAGAATATTTAATTTTGAAATATAATAAAAATATATATATATTTCTATATTTACATATCTTTCTGTTTTTAAAATAAAAATAAAGAATATCCAGGAATCAAGAAAAGAGGCGCCTTCGTACTACGCAGATTTTGAAACTAAAATTGAATAATCAATAAGAATCTTATTTTATGTATAATCTTTCTATATTATATTCTTTCTACTATTTTTAAAAATATAAAAACATATCCAAATATCTAAAGAAGAAATATCTTCGTATTTTATTTTTTAATATCTTAATAAATAAATAATTATATTATTTATTTATTTATTTAATAAAATTCTCGAATAG